TACAGTACAATATGCCAATAATTCACAAAAAGAAGACAAGATCGGAACATAATAGAAACATACAAATGAAAAATGAAAATAAAAATGTGTTCTATGTTCTTTTGCGAAGTCAGACCCTTAAATTGGCTTGTAACCAACTTTGTATAATAAAAGGTCTATAAATCAGCGAAAACCTATACACTTAGTTTAATCTTTGTTTCAAACATCATTCTTTAAAATAATCTATTCAATGTGGTTTTAATTGATTTTTAAAGTTTTTCTTTTCCAGATTTTATCTGAGACGGTATCTATACCTTTTCCATAATTTCAAAATATTATATAAAACTCGCATTAAAAAAATGTAATGCAAGGATTAATTAAGTTTTCAGTGGCGCACGCCCCTTCAATAATTACTCGCGCCCTTCCCCACCCCCACCCCACCTAAAAAAAATCACCATCAAGTAGTCACTAAATCACCTAAAAATTACCTTACTTTGCGACTTAGCGCCCCTCAACCGATCATCGTTCCCCCACCCCCATCAGCACACCCAGCTGAAGATTTCTGGATACGCCACTGATGGCGAACGGTGCGAAGGTCTAAATCCGCGCCGACTGTATAAAGGTGATTTCCAAGCGAGAATAAAGATGCTAGTGAAAACTAGAAGGAAGATGAGTTTATACGCGGTGAATCATTGACACGCAAGCGGCGGGGAAAACACTCCTCAAAAAGTGTATATCTTGTACAGTACGACGAATTAGAGGCGGTCCTAGTTGGAAACTGCTCCGGTTACTCAAGGAGGTTAGGTGGATGGATTTTCGAAATGTGCAAGTGTGAGTTTTGAATTTTCTACCCCTTGAAATCATCGTTATGCCCTTAAAATGGTCACATCACGGCTGGTTGGTTTCTGTTGAAACACGTTTTAATGAAATATAGGCCTAACGTTGTTGCTAAGTGCATGTCTGATGTGGTATGTCTTCATATTGGCAGTTAAAATCTGACTCACTTTTATTCCCGTACTAATTGTTTTAATTTTTTTTCATCAATTTTGCCAGACATTGCAATTACCCGTTAATGATGTTCGCAACGAATTAGATTTAGATTTGAATAACTGTGTAAAAATGTCATTGATATGCTCACCATATTTAAATTTAAGCTTTTAAGTATAAGTAAAGTTTTACAATGATTCTTTAATGTTATCACTGGTTTTTTATATCGTACATTTTTTAGAGAAGGGATATGTAAATTTAATTTATTTATAATATAACACGCATATCATTAATAGCATATAGGCCTAAGTATTGTTTTCAACCTTGGAAAAGCACTTGTATAATTATTGCTCATTTTTTGCTCATTTAGTATGAATTAGTCTTTTCATATTCTCGAGTCCCAAGATTTTTTAGTTCCTTGAAGACAAAATAAATGAAATGTCAAAAATCACACAAATCGTTAGGTGTTGAAAGAGCTTAAAACAAAAGACATAACAAAATTGTATCACACGTATGAACTAAGACAGTTACTCCAGAGACTGCATACCGCCACCCTGTGCCTGAATACCAACAATACGCAAGCCGTGTATGATGGGCGAAACCCGCAAGGAAATAATAGAATCGGCCGTCGTATTCACGCACATTATTTTCTTGGGTGCTGCTTAAATACGAGGGGCGATTCCATTACTTTCTTTTATGCTTGGAGGTAAAACATCGAGTTTCCGTGACCTTGACCTTGACCTTTTTTTCCCCCAAAATTGAATGGTGTCTTTTTCAATTAGGCCTAATATGTACCATTCCACTAAATTGTATGATAATCCATTCATTAATTTTTGCGTAATCTTGCTAACAGACAGACAAAAATACAGCCCTACAGACAGGCAGTAGTGAATACATAACCTCCTTTGACGGAGGTAATTTATAAATACCGTAATATGAACTCGAATACCTGTTCATTTCAAAAGTGGCTGGTGTTTTGGACTTTAGGTCTGTCCAAGGGCTGTCTCTTATACACATCTAGATGTGTATAAGAGACAGATTCTTTATACTGGAGAAACCTGTTCATTAGGACTGGACCTTGTTCTCCCACAGGGCCCAGTTCTCATTCGCTTTCAATTGAATGTTCGAATTATAAAATATTTTAATCATCAATAGCAAACGGCATACATAGTTTCTATTCAAGATTCAAACATTGTATTTGTCCATATAAAAATACATAAAATTGTATTGCTTGGCAGATGAACATATAGTAAGATATAATAAATATAAATACAGTACAATATGCCAATAATTCACAAAAAGAAGACAAGATCGGAACATAATAGAAACATACAAATGAAAAATGAAAATAAAAATGTGTTCTATGTTCTTTTGCGAAGTCAGACCCTTAAATTGGCTTGTAACCAACTTTGTATAATAAAAGGTCTATAAATCAGCGAAAACCTATACACTTAGTTTAATCTTTGTTTCAAACATCATTCTTTAAAATAATCTATTCAATGTGGTTTTAATTGATTTTTAAAGTTTTTCTTTTCCAGATTTTATCTGAGACGGTATCTATACCTTTTCCATAATTTCAAAATATTATATAAAACTCGCATTAAAAAAATGTAATGCAAGGATTAATTAAGTTTTCAGTGGCGCACGCCCCTTCAATAATTACTCGCGCCCTTCCCCACCCCCACCCCACCTAAAAAAAATCACCGGCAAGAAGACACTAAATCACATAAAAATTACCTTACTTTGCGACTTAGCGCCCCT